CTGTGGGCCTCTGCAACTGTTTCCATTATCTGTTGGATGAAGTCTCTCAGATGATAGTTATGCTAGTCCCCTATCTACAAGCATAGCAGAGTTTTATTAATACTGTCAGAAGTTGAATCTTTCCATGGGTTGGGTCTCAAGTTGTGCCAGTCATAGGTTGGCCATTTCCTCAATCTCTGTTCCATCTTTTATTCCTGCATATCTTGTAGGTGACAAATTTGGGTCAAGGGTTTTGTGTGTTGGTAGGTGTCCCTCTCCCTCCACTGGATACGAGATATGTCCACTTCAGTCTCAATATTCCTGCTGCTAGGCATATCTCAGCCAGGCTCACACTCCCATATTTTACCAGGTACCTCCAGAATTCCAGGTCTTCATCTTATCTCAGAGATGCTGCAACACCAATTTCCCTTCTTTCCTAGCCCTCTCACCCCATGTGCACTTTCCCATACCTGATCTCCTGTCCTGTTCCTCTCTTCACCCCCTCTCCCACCCACCCCCTCTCTCCCTCCACTTCCCATGTCTGTCCCCTTCTTAGTGGGATTCAAGTATCCTCTCTTCTACCCTCCATGTTACTTAGTTTGTTTAGGTCTGCGGGTTGTACCATGGTTATCCTGTACGATATGGCTAATATCCCATGTTAGTTATTTTAATAGACTCTCTCTACGCTCTCTGTGTTCTCATTGATCAATACATAAACTTGGACAAGGGTATCACAACAGTGGCACACACTGTATCCTGTCAGGTGGTATATACTTTCACTTTGATTACTTGTAATCAGTGTTTTCCAGGCTTTTCTACTACACAGTTAATATGCTGCACCCCCATGAGTACCTTGACACTTTGTGTCTTGGTCCTCATCAGAATGTTAATGCATTTGCCATACACTTACATCAATATGGACTCATGATTTATGTGCCTTCTGTAGTGGACTGGACTGATACTGTTTGTTTTACTCTGCTGGGGCTAAGTGACAAATGATTTATAAACAAAGGCTTTACTTTTCACAGTCGTGAACTCTGGAAAGTCTAAAGTTAAATTATAAGGTCTAGTTGGGGGCATGCTTGTCTACAGTCCTGTTCTCACTTTAAACTCAGTGTTCTAAAGGGCCACATGATTTTATAAGGTCTCTTCAATAAGGTTATGAACCTATTTATAAGGACTTCACCTCCCAGACCTGAATACCTCCCAAACATCTCATGCAGTTCTATTACTTTGGGTCTCAAGACAGCAACATAGGAATTTTGGGAGGACATAGATATGCAGATCATTTTGATGTTCAAATTGTTTTGTCATTTGACCAATGAGAGCTTATAAATCTGGCTTCTGTGTCTTGTTTTCTTTCCATTTTTTAATCTTAATTTTTATTAATAACACTTTATTCACTTTGAATCCCTCTGTGCTCCCTCCCTCCTCCTCTCCCAATCCCATCCTCCCTCCCCCTTCTCCACACATGTGCCTCCCCAAGTTCACTGATAGGGGAAGTCCTCCTCTCCCTCCCTCTGATCATTGTTTATCAGGGCTCATCACAAATAGCTTCACTGTCTTCCTCTGTGGCCTAGTAATGTTGCTTCCCCCTCAGGGGGAGGTAATCAAAGAGCAGGCCAATCAGTTCATGTCAGAGATACTCCCTATTCCCATTACAATGGAACCCACTTGGACAATGAACTGCCATGGGCAACATCTGTGCATGGTTCTAGTTTATCTCCATCAGTGGTCCTTGGTTGGATTATCAGTCCCAGAAAAGACCCCTCTGTCCAGATTTTTTTTGGTTCTGTTGCTCTCCTTGTGGAGGACATGTCCTCTCCATGTCTCATTATTTCCTACTTCTTTTTTGAAGTACTCTGCACTCTGCCCAAAATTTGGCTACAAGTATCAGCATCTTCTCTGATATCCTGCAGGGTAGAGCCTTTCAGATTCCCTCCGTGGTAGGCTCCTATCCTGTTCCCTGTTTTCTCCCTCTTCTGATGTCCATCCTCTTTGCCTTTCTGAATGAGGATTCAGCATCTTAGCCAGTCTTTCTCATTCATAAATTTCTTTAGTTGTACAGATTTTAGTATGTTTATCCTATATTATATGTCTAATATCCACTTATGAGTAGTATATACCCTGTGTGTCTTTCTGCTTCTGCGATACCTCACTCAGGATGATCTTTTCCAGTTCCCGCCATTTGCCTGCAATTTTCATGATTTCCTCGTTTTTTATTGCTGAGTAATATTCCCTTAAGTAGATGTACCACAATTTCTGTGCCCATTCCTCAGTTGAGGGGCATCTGGGTTGTTTCCAACTTCTGACTATTACAAATAAAGCTGCTACAAACACGGTTGAGCAAATGTCCTTATTGTGTACTTGAGCATCTTTTGGATATATGCTTAGGAGTGTTATAGCTGAATCTTGAGGAAGCACTATTCCTAATTGTCTGAGAAAGTGCCAGATTGATTTTCAATGTGATGTACAAGTTTACATTCCCACCAGGAGTGGAGGAGGGTTCCTCTTTCTCAACATCCTCTTCAGCATGTATTGTCACTTGAGCTTTAGATCTTAGCTCTTCTGATGGGTGTAAAGTGAAATCTCAGGGTTGTTTTGATTTGCATTTCCCTGATGCCTAAGGGCATTGAGCATTTAAGTGTTTATGTGCCATTCCTCTATTGAGAATTCTGTTTAGCTCTGTACCCCATTTTTTTAAAAATTGGATTACTTGATTTACTGCTATTTAACTTCTTGAGTTATATATTGAGTTATATATTCTGGATATTAGCCCTCTGTCAGATATAGGGTTAGTGAACATCCTTTCCCAATCTGTAGACAGTATCCTTTGCTTTACAGAAGCTTTTCAGTTTCATGAGGTCCCATTTATTGATTGGTGCTCTTAGAGCCTGTGCTGTTGGTGTTTTGTTACACCAGCCAAGACACTAGACCTGAGAAAGATATTTTCCTGGCACAAGCAAGAAGAGCAAGAGTCCTTTCCAAACCAATGGTTTTCTTCAACAAAGCAAGCACTGGGATTTAATTTAGGGAATATAGATACTCAGAGTCATGCTAAATTAAGTCCTATTCTGAATGTGATCATAACATAAAATCGGAGAGAAAAAGGCACTCTTGGCTCAAGCCATGTGGAAATATATGTAAAAGTTTTAAAATGGACAGAAATGCCCCTAAGATGTTTAATTGTGACCACAAGTTATTAACTGAAAATGAAGTAAATGAGGCCATGAAACTAGATTGCTCAGGAGGCAATGCCATCTGGTAATCATAATGTCTGATCTATGAGATGTTTCAATGCTACAGTTCTCACTTACACAAAGGGCAGAGAACACAAATTCAGAAAACTTCTAACATCCCTGTGTACACTATCCCTCAGAAAAAATCTAACTTGAAATATAGTCTGCATTTTGAAATCATTTTGATACATGATATTTCTACATAGCCATGGCTGTTTTAGAACTATCCGTGGAGATGGGCATGGTGGCAGGCACCTGTAACCCCAGAACTCAAGGAAGAAGAGGCAGAGTTATGTGATTTTGAGGATGGCTGGGTCTACAAAGTAAGTCCAGAACAGCCAAAGCTACACAAGAAAATTGTGTCTCAAATACAAAGAAACAGAGAACACACTCTGTGGAACAATCTGGCCTCAGTCTCAGAGAGATCAGCCTGCCACTGAATCCTAGGTTTAGGATGACAGAGAAGCACTTCTTAGCCAAGCTATAAAGGATAAAATAAGATGTACAAAGGAACCATTTTCCTTTTAATGAGCAGCAATAAGTCTTCAAATTCTACAAATAATTTCTGTCATCTATAAGTGGCTACATTGCTTTTTTAATTTCATAATTTATAACTGGATATTAGACATATAATATAGGATAATCATACTAAAATCTGTACAGCTAAAGAAGCTAATTAAGAAGGCACAGCCTGGGTAAGATGCTCAATCTTCATTCAGAAAGGCAAATGGGATGGACATCAGAAAAGGGAGAAAACAGGGAACTGGACAGGAGCCTACTACAGAGGGCCTCTGAAAGACTGTCCAGCAGGGTATTAAAACAGATGCTGAGACTCATAACCAACCTTTGTGCAGAGTACAGGTAATCATATGAATGAAGGGGGAGATAGAAAGACCTGAGGGGACAGGAGCTCCACAAGGAGAGTACTAGAACCAAAAAATATGGGCACAGGGATTTTTGGAGACCCATATTCCAAACAAGGATCACGAATGGAGATAATGTAGTACCCATGACAGATTTAGCCCATTGCAGCTCAGTGTCCAAGAGGGTATCCTAGTAATGAGAACAGGGACTGTCTCTGATATGAACTCAGTGCCTGGCTGTTTGATCACCTCTGCCTGTGGGGGGAACGAGTCCACAGAGGAAGACAATGAAGACAGTCCAGATGAGACCTGATATACTAGGTTCAGATGGAAGGAGAGAAGTACCTCCCCTATCAGTGGATTGGGGGAGGAGCATGGAAGAGGGAGAGAGGATAGGACTGGGAGGGGATGAGGAAGGGTCTATAGCAGGGATACAAAGTGAATAAACTGTAATCAATAAAAATAAAACATTTTAAAATGCTGGAGTGTGTTTGTGTGGACATACATATGTTATGGTGTATACATGCTAGTGAGAGTACAACTTACTGCTATTTATTATCTACACCCCATATGTAAGTTCTTGACATGGAACACAACAGGTCTTTTGGCCAGTGACCACACTGGCCCTTATTTAGGCTGAAAAATTAGTTACGTATCTGCTGGTGCGTGAGTTTGCATATACAGCAGCCTGATTATAGAAACAGTAGAAAAATCTGTAGCAGTAATATGGACAACTCAGGGATTGAGCTCAAATCATCAGGCTTAGCAATAACTAAATTTACCCACAGAGACAATTCTCTGACATTCACTTGCAGTTTTGAGAAATTCTTAAGAAAAAGTCTTTACTCCTAAGAAAGAACCAACACGTTCCAAAACAAGACAGGAGTGTATAATTTTCATTTGCAAGTAGCATTTATTATTCAAATCATTTCATTTTCTTCCATCCTCAGATAATAAAATATTCATAATTGGAATAGAAGACAATATTGTACTGATGTAATTTTTCAAGTACGTTTTTTGAGTCTCAATGAGCTTAGTGGAGAGTGTTTGTGGTATGCAAAAGAGACACCATAAACTTGAATATCATATAACCATGACCAAAATAGACCCCATAGAGTATCACACACTCTTCATATCTGTCATAGCCTAAGAGTAAATATTCCATTACACACACAACATGGTTTTTTAAATAAATCTCATTGCTGTTACATTAACTATCACCTCTAGATAAATCTCTAAGAAGGCAATATTTCAAGATGATGTGCCATATAGTAAATATGGGAACATTTAGAAGCATGAAACTTCAAACAATATATACATACATATGTACACACATATTACTAAGCATCACTTAATTGTTGATATCCAAGCAAGGCTTAAAAACAAACATCTTAAATGAATTTGTGAAAACAAAAAAAGTACAAGTTCTCATAGACCCTTCCTTGAAAACTATGATCTCACATGGCCTGATATAAATAAGCAATGGACCACACAGAGGATGGGGATTCCATTCTATACATTGCAGCAGAAAAATAACTCTCACCAAATGGAAATGCCTTAGAATATGAACATCTGCCACAGAAGGAATATCAGAACCTAATAAAGTTCTGTGAATGGATTTGCCACACACACAACAAATTCAATACCTACTCCAATGTTTCAAAATTCAGAGCACAACCATAATTGGTGATCTCATCCATTACAATGAAGTGAACATGTTAAATAATTACTTCCTCCGAGGCTTTGATAAAAACAGATTCAAAATAGTTTCTTTTCTTGGAAATGAATACATTTATTATGTCCAAAGTAATAAACTCTTTTGCATAAATAAGATTTCTCTCTTCTATGAATGCTTTTCTACTTCCTGACATCAAGATGACATATTAAGATTTAAGATATTTACAGTACTAGATACATGGTTTTGTAGTTAAGACAAGTTCATTCCCAGGACCTAGGTCAGGTTTTTGACAACTTTCTATAATTCCTGGTATGAGAAAATCAGTGGGTCTAGTCTACTTGGAAACTAGAATGGACAGGCACATAAACACACAAAGAAAAACTGTTATCACGTAAGGGAAATTAAAATAAATTCTTAAATATATGTTTACTCATGAATGTTTTACTTATTTATACGAATGCTTATGCATTCGTTACTGAATTCAGGTGTTGAGGCAACTACAGGCTTATTTACAAATGTCTTCATCACAAATTCCTTCATGTAACAGAAATCAAACATGTAGGTCTGAAATTAGAGAAATGAATCCTTTTCAGTTGGTGGTATCATTTCGGAATTTTTAACAAAATGTATCCCTGCTGGAGAAAGTATGTTACTTGGGGTGGGCTTGATAGTTTTCAGGTGCATACCATCTGTAGTTCCCACTCACTGCTTCATGCTGCAGGTGGTGATTGTGAGCTCCAAGCTTCCTACTTTAGCTGCCATGTAAGACACTTGTGTTGCCCAATTTATAGTGATCCCATATCCTCTCAGGTCATAAGGCAAAGTAAACACATTTGGAAGTTGCCTTAGACATTGTGTTTGGTCACAGAAAATGCACTAATACACACACATAAATTTTACAACTGGATGATTTATTTCATGTAATTGAATTGAATTGTGAAATTAAAAAGGATTATCTTATTGTTTAAATTCATATGCCTTTGGTCCATATGAGATTTCAATTGGAAACAAAATAATGATGGATGTCATAAATGCATGCATACATTGTTGACACTTGTTAGCATTTCCCTCCAAAATAATCTAGTGTAATTAAATGCACGCTGGTGGGTCAAAGATCTGAAAAAAATCTTTTACTCTAATAGATGTTCTTCAGAATGAGTTCTTTTAGGTTCTCAAAGACTACTGTGATATGCAAAGGATTTAGGATGTAGCCCATACACTGAAGCTTTTACTCATATAATGGAAACATGAAGCAGAAAACTTTACCATACTGACTACATTCATGGGGTTTCTCTGCAGCATGACTTTTTCTCATCATTTCAAAGACAACCCCATGAAAAGGATTTACCACATTGCTTATTCAGCAGTATGTTTTCTTTTATGTATTCAGAGATAACTGTATTAAGAAAGGCTTTATCACATTGAATACATGTGTAAGGTTTCTCTCTACTATCTGTTCATTTGTATACTTGAAGATGACTTTGATGTGCAAAACATGTAAAAGCAAATTATGTGGGATCATGCAAAAGCAATTTGTCTTAAGTATTGCCTTTTAGATTCCAGCCTCCATTGATTTATAGGGTGAACATAAGTTTAAGTTCATAATCCCTAGGAAAGCTGTAGACTTCCCAATAGCTGACCGGCTTTAATTACTTAACTTTTTTTGCCCAAAACATGACTGTTCCATACAATGGTTTCTGGTACCCTAACATAATGACTGACCCAAACCACAGATTCTCTTTACTAAAACATACTATCTTTTCCTAACCACAAAAGAACAAATGAATATGATTGTTTTCACTGTTAAACCTACATTTTGCATCAGTTGACTTCCTCAATGACATAAACAAATCCCATATCCCTAAACCATGACTGATGGAAACAATTTAGTTGTAAAACTCTAAAGATGTTTATGATTTTCAAGCTCAGAACCTCTGTAACTTTCTGGCACATTGGATGGGTAGGCATCACAGTTCAGCTCCCAAGAAGATTATGTGGCCCTAATCAACAGTAGTGCCTGGATGAAAATAAAATTTTGTCATTAGTATTGACCTAGTATTTGAGTTGTATTGGATTCAGTGGACAAAAGAACACAAAAGCCTTACCATATTGATTATATTCTCAGATTTTCTCTCCATTTTGAAACTTTTATGATGATGTAGAATATAGATATGTGCAAAGGTCTCCCATTTTAACACATTCATAAATTTTCTCTCTGTATGAATTCTTTCATGATGACGAGGATTATACAAATGTGGAGTAGCTTCAACATGTAAATACACTCATAGTGTTTTGTTCCAGTATGAATTCTTTCATTACGTTGAAGACGATTGTGAACAGCACGTTTTCATTAGGACATGACAGCTATGTGAAAAGGCTTTACCACATAGGTTACATTAATAAGGTTTCTCTCAAGTGTGAGCTTTTTATGTATTAGGAGATAACTGTTATATGAAAAGGCTTTAACACATTTATTACAACCATAAGATTTCTCTCCAGTGTGGGTTCTTTTATGTATTAGTAGAATACAGTTATATGCTATTGCTTTACCACATTGGTTATATTCATAAGGTTTCTCTCCTGTATGTCTTCTTTGGCATAGATTACTATTATATCAAAATGCTTTATCACATTCGTTACATTCATAAAGTTTCTGTCCAGTGTATATTATTCTATGTACATTGAGAATATTATGGCATGCAAAGGTTTTGACACATTGGTTACATTCATAGGGTTTCACTACGGTAAGGGTTCTTGTTCAAGATGACTCTTACATAAAAGCCTTTATGATATTAGTTACATTCATAACGTTTCTCTCCAGTGTGAGTTCTCGCATGTATTAGAAGACTATTATGTCTAAAGGCTTTACCACATTGTTTGCATTCATAAGGTTTCTCTCCAGTGTGAGTTCTTTTATGTACTCGGAGATTACTGCTATGTGCAAAGGCTTTACCACATTGGTTACATTCATATGGTTTCTCTCCAGTATGAGTTCTCTTATGTAGCAGGAGACTTCTGTTACATGAAAAGGCTTTACTACATTGGTTACATTCATAAGGTTTCTCTCCAGTGTGAGTTCTTTTATGTACTCGGAGATTACTGCTATGTGCAAAGGCTTTACCACATTGGTTACATTCATATGGTTTCTCTCCAGTATGAGTTCTTTTATGTAGCAGGAGACTTCTGTTACACGCAAAGGCTTTATGACATTGGTTACATTCATAAGGTTTCTCTCCAGTGTGCGTTCTTTCATGTGATCGGAGATGACTGCCCTGTGCAAAGGCTTTACCACATTGTTTACATTTATAAGGTGTCTCTCCAGTGTGAGTTCTTTCATGTATTAGGAGATGACTGTTATGTCTAAAGGCTTTACCGCATTGGGTACATTCATAAGGTTTCTCTCCAGTGTGAGTTCTTTTATGTCTTAGGAGATGGCTATTACATACAAAGGCTTCACCACATTGATTACATTCATAAGATTTCTCTCCAGTGTGAGTTCCTTTATGTCTTAGGAGATTACTGTTAGATGCAAAGGCTTTACCACATCGGTTACATTTATGAGGTTTCTCTCCTTTGTGAGTCCATTTATGTCTTAAGACATGACTGTCATGTGCAAAGGAATTGCCATATTCATTACATTCATAGTGATCCTCAGCAATATGCATACTTTTATATGTTTGGGGACTCCTGTGATGTGCAAAGACTCTGTCATATTGAGTATCTTCAGGGGGGTTGTCTCCCCTATGACTGTTTTCATACCTGCAAAGATAATTGGCACATATGAAAGCTTTACCACATTCATTACACTAAAGAATCTTTTTGTCTATGTGACCTAATTTTTCAATTTGGTGTGAAGGTAAAGAGGAATTATATCTTGAGTTTTTATCATTACTTTTACATTCACAGTGTTCTTCTTCTCTAAGGGTTGTTTTGCATATTTCAAAATAAATGTGATGGTAAAAATATTTACTTGTCTCACATTTATATTATACTTTCTTCTATAATATGTTTTACCACAGATCTGTAGAAAACTGAAAGACCTCAGAGCTTTAACACACTGACTGGATTAATAAATTTCCCTATACTGTGCGCCATACTAAATATGCAAAGATAACTGTGACCAACTGAATAATTTCTTTATATTCCTAAAACTTACATTTTCTACAGTGTGATTTTGTGAGAATTCCTAATCAAGTTGCATAACCAGTTAATTGATATTTGTGTATAGTGTGTGAAAGTGTGTGAATGCTGATTGCTAAGTCAGCAGAGAGCTAAGGGCTAAGGATATCATAGAATTGTTAGTTCTATGGCTCATAACCTGTCCTATATTTTGTAAACATTTGTCCTTCCTTACTTATTCATTGGAAATAATAAAGAGCTAACAACTGATAGCAGGGTACAAAATGGAGGACAGAACTTCTGAGTGAGAGAGGGTTGCTGGGAAGAAGAAAGCAAATGACAGGCGGTTCACCAGCAGGCCAGTGAGGTTATAGACAGACATGAACATCAGCAAAGAGGTAGAGCTGGCCATGCATCAGGACACTGTGCTAGGTTTGTGTTAGGGATACAAAGGGTTCAGAATCTGCCCACTTAAATTGCCTAAGCTGAAAATATTAAAAGGCCCTGTTATAATTTGTACTTCTGGCAGCTCTGAATAGCCCATATAAAGCATATTAGGTAGAAATTTTTAAACATCTACTCAAAATGGGGACTACTATACCTTTTACTTGTTCTGGGTGGTACATTGTTTCTTTCAATATACATAAACTAACATGACTTGTATTCATTGTTACATATGATGTAACTATTAAAATAATAATTATAAATGACATGATTTCACGATGTATTCACACATTTGATTTTTGTTTATCACAGACATGTACTATAGGGATTATGGTTTTTCCACAACAACATTCTTGATTCTAAAAAACTGCCCTTCTCACAAAACTCAGTACCATTACTACAAGTATATGAGTAACCCCATTTTACTATGGACAAGTTGATTAGTATAATGTTTTGGATATACTTTCATCACCTATTTACTGTGAATACATTTGGCAATATCTTAGTTGTAGGAGACTAAACAAATTGAAGTTCTACCTCTAATGCTAATGAAGGTATGATTTAAACATTGATCTTGTGTAAGGTATGATTTCCTTGCATTCTTTCTTAGAGGAGTGCCTTGCAAACAAATATCAAATAACTAACATGGAGGGACATGGTTTAGTAACAAGTTATTCATCATCAATAAATACACTTAAAGTAGTACATTTACACTGTCCCTTCTCTTTCAAACTTCCAGAACATATCAAAATTTTCTCAGGACCATATTCATATCAGCTTACAATGAAAATTACCTTGCATGTTTTCTAGAACTTTGACAATGCTCTTCTATATTATGATTTTCCCAATTGCAGCCTAAAATACAGATACAGAAAATGTATGATTTATTATTGGAAATAAGACAAAATTTAAGTCATGATCTCTGGTCAATCAAAGAACCATTCACCTCATTCTTCCTCATCCTCAAGAGAAATTACAGAAGCACTTTGATAATGAATAATGAGTTTTCCCCATATTTTAAAAAGTAAGGAAAACTCGCTATCCTACCTATAGCAGTAAGGTTACTGTAGATCTCCAGCATTACATCTTTGTAGAGATTCCTCTGAGAAGGATCCAGCAAAGCCCACTCTTCTCGGGTGAAGTTCACATGCACATCATTGTAGGTCAATGCAGTCTAAAATATCCACACACATGTACAACAGAAAGCATGATACTTAGAATACTGGAAATGTATCCTTCATTTGCAATATTTTCAAAGTATTCTGGTGTTTCTACTTATTTTGTGACCCACAAGTTTTAATGAAATAAGTAACTCTTTTTAACAGGAAACTGAATAGTGAAGTTCACCTCTATTTTTTTCATTCTTTAACTAGGATACAGACTTGCAAGAGAAATGTCATTTAACACATAAAGAGAGAGAGAGAGTACACAGATCAACAATACTGAACCCACATAAGAGAAATAGTATAAACGATTCCTGACTCATAAAAATGGGCAGTCTGGGTGTATTTTCTGATGACTTTTCATTCCAAAATTACTCAGGAAACAGAGACTGGTGTATGTCATAGAGCTGAATGGTAGACTGCTCTATGCAATAAGTTCCAGGACACAATGGGGTATATAATATGATCCTGAATATGCAAAAATTAGTGAAACAAACAAGATAAAAACCTTAAAGATCTTTCTCAAGTTTCTACAAAGAATTATACATTCACTCCAGTTCTGCATAAATGTCTAGAAACCTGAAGTGCCTCATTTTAAACTTTAATATAAATATGATCTTTTAAAAATGAAATGTATGTTTGAACAATTACAAAAGGACAGATGAAAACATTAGCAATTTAAATGATGATCATAAATAGGCAACATGGGGGATGAAGGTATGGTTCAGTGGTTATGAACTGTTCTTCCAGAGGACCTGGGTTAAATTCCCAGCACCCACATGACAGCTAATAGCTGTCTGTAACATAAATATATTCAATAAAATACTCTTAACACAAATCAAAGATATAAACGATGAACAAATTGGCTTTATCTCAGGGATACAGGGATGGTTCAACATAGGAAAATCCATCAATGTAATCCACCATATAAACAAACTGAAAGGCCAAGAACACATGATCATCTTATTAGATGAGAAAAAGCCTTTGACAAAATCCAACACTCCTTCATATTAAAAGACTTGGAGAAATCAGGCATAAAAAGAATCAGGCACATAACATAATAAAGGCTGAAAAAAGCAAGCTGCTAGCCAACATCAAATCATCTGGAGAGAAACTTAAAGAAATTTCACTCATATGAGGTACAGGATATGGATGCCTTCCCTCTCCATATCTCTTCAATATACTCCTTACATCCTAGCTAAAGCAAGATACAAATTGGAAAGGAAGAATTCAAAGTATTACTATTCACAGATGATTTACTATTATACCTAGGTGACCCAAGAAATTCTACCAGAGAATTCCTACAGTTGATATACACTTTCCACAAAGTGGCTGGGAACACAATTAACTAAAATTTCATTATTCCTTTTTTATACAAATGAAAAATGGACTGAGAATGAAATTTCGAAAACATCCTAAACAGTAGCCACAAAAAACATAAAGTAAAAGACCTCTATGACTAGAATTGGAAGTCTTTAAAGAAAGAAACTGAAGAAAATATCAGAAGATGGAAAGATGTTCCGAAACTCATGCATATATAGGATTAACCTAGTAAAACAGCATTCTTTTTAAATTAATTACCCTTTATTAACTTTGTATTCCCCCTGTATCACACTTCCTTCTCCCCTCCCAAATACTTCCTTCATCCCCCTTCTGTAAAACATAATTCTTAAAAAAATGCAGTCTATGGGTTCAATTCATTTCCCAACAACATCCAAACATAGTTCTTTACAGACCTTGAAAAAGCAAATATTAACTTCAAATGTAAAAATAAAATACCCTTGATATACAGAACAATACTGTATAATTGGAATAAGGACAAAGAAATAAACCCACACTCTTATTGGAACTTTACTTTCAACAAAGAAGCCAAAATCATACAATGGACAGAAGACAGCATCTTCAACAAAGGGTGGTGCTCTAACTAGATGTCTGCATGTGGAAAAATGAAAATAGACCCTTTGTATCATCCTGCAGAAACTCAAGTCTAAGGGGATCAAAGACCTTCACATAACATCAGAGTTCTAAATCATTTAGAAGACAAGGTGGAGAAAACTCTGGAACTCATTAATACAGAACAACAACAGCACAGGCTCTGAGATCAACAATTAATAAATGGGATCGCAAGAAACTGAAAAGGACACTATCAATAGAACAAAACAGCAGTCAACAGATTGGGAAAATATCTACACCAACCCTACGACAGACAGAAAGGTAATTTCCAAAATATACAAAGAACTTAAGAAATTAAACACCAACAAATCAAATAAACCAATTTAAAAATGGGGTTCAGAGCTAAACTGAGAAGTCACAACAGGGGAATCTCAAAGGGCTAAGAAAGACTTAAAGAAATGATGAAAGTCCTTAGACATCAGACAAATAGAAATCAAAATGACTCTAAAATTCCATCTTATACCACTCAAATGGCTAAGATAAAAAACTCAAGTGACAACACATTCTGGTGAGGATGTGGAGAAAAGGGAACTTTCCTCCAGTGCTGATGGGAATGCAAACTTGTACTTCTCTGGTAATCAAACTGGTGCATTCTCAGAAAATTGGGAATAGTTCTACCTCAATACCCATCTATACCACTCCAGGGAATACATCCAAAAGATTTTCTATTATAGAACAAGGACATTTGTTCTACTATGTTCATAGCTGTTTTATTCATAACAGCTAAAAAGTGAAGAATGGATAAAGAACTACTAATACATTTACACAATGGAATACTCCTCAGTTATTAAAAATAAGAAATCATGGAAATTGCAGGCAAATGGTTCAAACTAGAAAACATCATCCTGAGAGAGGTAACCCAGACACAGAAACACATTGCTTATAAGCAGATATTAGACCTATAGTACAGCATAAACATTCTATAATTCACACACCCAAAAAAGCTAAGCAAGAAGGGTCCATGGGAGGTTGGCAGAATATCACTCAGAATAAAAAACAGGACAGCAGAAGTAGATGAAGAGAGGGAGCTGGGCAGAAGTTGGAATGGGGAGGGAAACAAATGTGGGTAGCAGATGTGGGGAGAATTGTAGTAGGACGTGCGAGGGCTGAGAACACAAAGGGAAACTGAGGGGGCTTCTCTTTGGAGTCATTTGACAGGGAAGTTTCATGAGAGGACCTGGGTGTGACTGGGTGTGACTCTAGCTGAGAATCCTAATGGAGGGGCCGGAGAAGAGAGACATGGAAAATTAAGTATGAAGTGACCACCTCTTAGCCAGTCAGGACTAGTGGAGAGAGGGAACAACAAATGGACAACAAAACCCACAATCCAAAAATTACCCTGACTACAAGAAGTTTAGGGATAATGACGGAACAAAGATTGAGGGAATGTCCAGCCAATAATTGGGCCAACCTGAGACCCACCCTACACTAGAGTGCCAGCCAATGAAACTGTAAATGTTGCTTTGCTAAGCTTGTAGAAAAGAGCCTAAACATGCCTGTTACCTCAGAGGCTCCACCCAGCATCCAATGGAGACAGATGCTAGAACTTGCAACTAAGCATGGGGAGGATCTCTGGGGGTCTTATGGAAGTACTGGGGGAAAGATGGAAGAACCCGAAGGGGATAGAAAGCCACAAGAAAACCAACAGAGAAAAGTAACCCAGACCTGGGGATGGGGGTTAAGAAAATGAGACATCAACTAAGGAGCATGCATGTTCTGACCTAGGCTTCTTGAACTTATCTGTACTAAGGGTGGTTTGGTCCATGTGGGTTGAGTGGTAAGTGGAGGGGACTGTTTCTAAAAGGAACTCTACTGCCCGCTTTTAGAAAATCTCCCCCTGTCAAGCGTGCCTTGAATGGCCTTAGTGGATGAGGATATGCTCAGTCCTGATGTGACTTGATGTGCTGCAATGGGTGATACAGGAAGACTAGGGCTCTATTTTTGAGAGAGGGGAGGAAGAAGGGTGAGGGTGGACTGAGAGCAGAGGAAGGAAGGATTACCCTTTGGATGTAAAGTCAAAAAACAAACTAATCTCTCTAAAAAATTTAATACACTCAGAGAGAGAGACAGAGGGATTGAAAGGTAATAACGGAGGAGGCTGTAGGTGGGACATGAAATAAACATAATAAATAAAAATGAAAAAGAATAATATTAATACATTCTCTGAAATATCCAGAGGGAAAACTGGCAACATGAGCTTGCCCATCAAATTAGAATGGTCAAAATAAACCTCCAAAACTGTCATCAAATCTTCATATATCTGTCATAGTCTAAGAGCACAGTCATATTATACATCTATAACATGCTTTTTGAAATTAATTATTGTGTCATTATATGGAATCTGTAGGAAATTCTCTTACAAGGCAGAACTTCAGCATGATGTGACATATAGTAATAAATGAGAACATAAAGATGTATGTAACTTCAAACAATAAATATATACGTACATACATTTTATTAAACATTTTAATATTAATGTTTATTAAGCATTTTAATATTAATGTCCAGGAGCAAAGTCACTTTTAGCATACCTTTTTTTTTTCTCCTAACCTGCTACTGGGCTGCTGTGATTGAATCCCCTAACCAGCAACATCTCAGGTCATGAATGTGTGTACTTTTTTGGCCCATCATTTTGAAAATCTAGAATAGAAACTCAAATTTCAAGAAAACTAAGGCAAAAATCAGGGTAAATATTGTTTCCTGTCTTGCTGTCTTGCTCTTGTTTCTTCATTGTCTCAGGCTCAGCTAGCTTTTTTATCCAGCCCAGGGCCACTTACTTAGGGATTCTGCCACCCTCAATTGAAGAACCTTCTATAGAAATCATCAGTCAAGGCAATCTCTCGTTTACATAGAAACCAGCCATTTTTTCATTAGTTTACTTACTTTTTCACCTTATAGCCTGCTCAAAGCTCTGTACCTCCTCTCCTGCTGTTATCATCCCCACCATCATCCCTCACTCCTCTTCTCCTTCTTCTCAAGAAAGGGGAGACTCCCCATAACAAATCTCAGCACATCAAGTTGCATACAGACTAAGTGCATCTTCTTCCACTGAGGCCAG